GGACACAGGGCTAGGGACATGGGACATAGTCCTAGGGACGTGGGACAGAAGGCTGGGGACATGGGACACAGTCCTAGGGACGTGGGACACAGTCCCAGGGACATGGGACACAGGCTGGGGACGCTGGGCACAGGGGTGGGGACGCAGGACAGAAGGCTGGGGACACAGGAGACAGGGCTAGGGACGTGGGACACAAGGCTGAGAACAGAGGACACAAGGCTGGGGGCACGGGATACAGTCCCAGGGACATGGGACACAAGGGTGAGAACACAGCACACAAGGCTGGGGACACGGGACACAGGCTGGGGACACTGGGCACAGGGGTGGGGATGCGGGACAGAAGGCTGGGGACATGGGGTACAGTCTGGGACACAGGGTTGGGGATACAGGACACAGGGTTGGGGATACAGGACACAAGGCTGAGGACGCAGGACACAGGGCTAGGGACATGGGACATAGTCCTAGGGACGTGGGACAGAAGGCTGAGAACACAGGACACAAGGCTGGGGACATGGGACACAGTCCTAGGGACGTGGGACACAGCCCCAGGGACATGGGACAGAGGCTGGGGACGCTGGACACAGGGGTGGTGACACAGGACAGAAGGCTGGGGACACAGGAGACAGGGCTAGGGACACGGGATACAGTCCTAGGGACATGGGACACAAGGGTGAGAACACAGGACACAAGGCTGGGGACACGGGACACAGTCCTAGGGACATGGGACACAAGGGTGAGAACACAGCACACAAGGCTGGGGACGTGGGACACAGTCCTGGGGACATGGGACACAGGCTGGGGACACTGGGCACAGGGATGGGGACGCAGGACAGAAGGCTGGGGACATGGGGTACAGTCTGGGACACAGCGTTGGGGATACAGGACACAAGGCTGAGGACATAGGGCTGGGGACATGGGACAAGCTGGGGACACTGGACACAAGGCTGAGGACATAGGGCTGGGGACATGGGACACAAGCTGGGGACACTGGACACAGGGTTGGGGATACAGGCTAGAAGGCTGAGGATGCAGGACACAGGGCTAGGGACACGGGCGACAGTCCCACGGACATGGGACACTGGACACAGGGTTGGGGATACAGGACAGATGCTGAGGACACAAGATACAGGGCTGGGGATGTGGGCTCATCACCCCAACCAGCCCCACCTGGGGTCCCAGCCACCCACACCCCCTCCCCACCTGGCCCCAGCGCTATGTTTAAGCTCCCACCCTGCTTTGGCTGAGCTTTAGGTGAGCCTGTGCTAGACCTTGTATTTGGCTCACTTGATTTTATATCTTGTTTTTGGGTTGATCCCAGCCCCGCCACATCCCCGCAGATGGGGCTGTGGTCCCACAGGGCTGGGCTCAGCTCCGGAGCAGCATGATCCGGAGACCTTGGGGGTGAAAAGAGTTTGACCAGCGGCCGTGTCCAGAGCAGATGCTGCCCGCACACAATACGCGGGGACCGGAGGTGACGCCGAGGACATCCTGCCGATGGCCGAGGGCTTGTACCGAACGGGCGTTTAAGGTCACGGCTTGCCTTTCTGCAACTCAGCGGCCGAAACAGAGCTGCAAGCGGCTGCCGGCATGGACTCAGCCCTGCCACTGCCTTGGAGCAGAGGGTTTCCAGCCTCCCTGCAGCGGTGATTTACAGAGCAGAACCTCTCGTGCTGGGAGGGAGATAGAAATGAGCCGTGCCAGGTGGATTTGGGGGAGCGTGAAGTGTCTGGCTACAAGGGCAGGTGGCCCCGAGAGGGAATCGAAAGTGCGGGGACCGATCTAGTTACCCAAATCTGCTGGAGCCTCTTGCTTTTGGGGTAAATGCCCGGCAAAAGATTGCCTTATCTTTCAGCAAGGGGAGAAGTTGGAGAGGAGAGACGTGTTTCATCTCCCATTCTTCTCCCCCCCTCCGTGGGCATCTCCACAAAAGGCTTTGGCTGGGGCCACTTGGGTGGGCTGGAGAGGCGGTGGCAGCCGGGACAATATCCGTCGTTTGGACTCGGTTTTAGGGAAGAGCTGCCGTTTCCCAACAGCGCTGGACTCTGGGGTTGGAATCGCGAAGCCAAAAAATGGTAGGTTTTTATTTTTGGTATCCCTGCAACTGAACTCAGGGAGAAAATCCGATCGGCTCCGGTGGGCGCTCCACCGCTTTTGTGCCTTGGCCTGCCCCACCTGAAACCCCCGGTCCCAAACCAAAAACCCACGTCCTGCAGCCCAGCTGGTACTTGGCGTTCCGGTTCCCGATTCTCTCTGTCCTCTCTTTCCTACAGGCATTTCTGCTCCAACATCGATTTCCTTCTGCGCCGAGGCAAAACGTCAGGCTGTGCTTTACAAGGATAGAAAGGGAAGGTGTGAAAAACATCCCTGGGGAATCTCGGGGGCTGGCCGGGAAGCGTGGACGCATCCGAAGCTCTCCAGAAGAAGGGAAGCCGAGCGGAGGAGCTTCGGCTCCGCTCTGGACCCTCTGGGAGGGAAGCTGAGCAGGAGGCAGCCAGGGAGAGAGCACGACACCGGCCCCGGAGCCTTTCCCACCCCACCATCCGCATGGATTTGGGGGTACAGGGCCAGGACACCCCTTTCTCCCAGGAGCCCGGCTGTCCCCCGGCGTGGGCCCGTCTCCCTCTGCCGGCAGGCCGGGGAAGGAGCGGGGAGGTGGGATGGCAGCAGGACACGGGCCCTGGAGTAGGGGAAAGACCTTGTCATTAATTGTAAGAGCAGGGTCCAGCATGTTACCTGACCCCAAAAGAACTGCAGTTCCTCCCCTTGAGAGAAAAGCAGGTGACATTTTTATTCCCCAAACAAAGCACGTAGAATAGAGTTAGTGCGCGAGAGGCAACGGATCCAAAGCTGGTCCGAGATGCTCGGCGGAATATAAATAAAGGACACAAATAAACAAGACGGGTTTGGTTTTTTCCAAAGATGGAATGAGGGACGAGGAGACCGGCTGCTTCCCGGGGCCATGTAGTGCTTTGCAGGACCAGATGAAAGCCCCGGTCGGCCACCAGCAGCAGCAGGAGCTCAGCTCTTGACAGGAGTGGAGGTGGCCTTCATGGTCTTCTTTAGGTGATGGTAGTTTGGCAAGATCTTCATCAGGAAATCCAACTGCAGCGTCTGGGGCTGGAAACAGAGGCAGGGGAGGTCAGGCAGCGGCCCTGCTGCCACCGCGAAGGTGGTCTGGAGAGGAGGGGAGGGTGACGGCGTGTCACCCGTGCGTCGCACCCACCTGCGGCCGCTCGGTCTGGACGCGGCGAAGGCAGTCGGCCCCGTAGATGACGGTGTTTTCGGGGATCACCTCGTAGGTGTTGACGTTACAGCAGGCCCCGATGATGCAGCCGCTCGTCAGGATCACATTCCTGCCGACAAACGCTGCCGGAGGGAGAGAGGAATCCTTCTGAGAGTCGTGCCCACGGTGGGGTTAAACCACCAAACATCAACATCACAAGCTGCTCAGCGCCAGAAGCCAGAGCCAGCCCAGCCCAGCTCCCACCGAGGCAGTACCACACGTGGGTTCTGGGTGAAAACCACAGCTTTGTGACAAGCTCCAGTTTGGCCTCAGCTACAGCATGACAACACCATGTAATCCCCAGCTGCTCCCTGCATCGACAAAAGCAAAACCTCACAAGGGCCAAGATTATAAGCTGAGACTTGCCTTTGGATTCGATGACATTGTTATCTCCCACCTTCATTGCTTGGGAATCTACAGGTCCGTGTTAAAGAAAACTGGAAAATGTTCTGCTTTTATTTCAAAAGGTAAGACCCGACGCCATTTTCAAAGCAACACCCTGCACCTTAAATAGCCCCGGGCTGTTGAAACCCCAACAGAGCCCACACATGCTTCCCCTTGTACCGATCCGAAAGCGTGGTGTGTCAGACAGTCTGTCTCACTGTGCAGCAAGGATACAACACCCAACTTCGAAAACATTGTTGGTGCCAATGACCATTGGTTTGGGCTCCACCTCTTCAGTTTCTGGTGTAATATTTTCTGGATACCTGCAAGACGGGAACAATTTATTTTGAGTTTTGAGATCACAAAGATGCTGTCCTGGTGGGCAGCTCAATTTTGCGAGAGGCTGAAGTTGTGTATATCCCACCCCATCCAGCCAGGCTGTCAGGGTTTATGAGACCCCTTGCTCTTGCACAGGGTCTCTTACCCTCAGGATTAGGATCCTCCTCCTCTGTCAGTTGGAGCAGGATTCACAGAGGGAGGACTTCTTCCCTAGCCACAGTGCCACGCACATCACAAAAGCACAGAAGTTTGTTGGGGTTTTTTTATTTGTTTTAAATTCTACCTCCCTAGGGTTGTTTGGCTAATGCCTTGCTCCTTAGAGAGCTGTAAGCACAAGCTCACGTTTGACAAGACTGACACGGCACCCGTGTTGAGATAGCTCAGAAAACACCAAACCTCTGCCAAACCCAGCGCGGGAACATCACCGCGGGACCCCGAACAAACCCCCTCCCCGTCCTGCCTGGTGCTGAGGGACACCGTTCACCCCAAAGCTGTGCTGGGGAACGACCCCCCACTTTGGGAGATCGACCACCCCCCCAAAAATCCAGCTTCCAATTGACCCGTTTATGATGAGCGCCTGTTCTTCGATCAGGTTGCCTTCCCCGATGACGATGGGTCCCGCTTCGGCGATGATCCTGGCCTTGGGGTGGATCACCGTCCTGGGCCCTGATGAAGAACAACCCACGGTCACCCCACGGCCGGTCGCGACCCCCACGACAGC